ATTCTTATTTTTTTATTAGAGAAGCCATTCTTACTTTGCTGTCCGGCTTGAACTGTAACGACAGGCACGTGAACTGTAACGAGAACCTTTAGTACGTAACGCGCGCGTTGGATGTCTAATAAGTGATTAGACATCCAACGCGACAAAGGGTCTTAATTGACATCCGAAAATCGGTTCGAGAAGACAGATGGTGACTACAATGTCTAATAACAAAAATTAACTGTAGGCTCTTAGCCAATGAAAAGACAGATAGTGAGTACAATATGTAATAATAACGTATAACATAACTTACCTTCGGATATTTCATCGTAAATGCGTAAAGCTGAAGTGGTAACCACTAACTCGTTAACTGGGCTCCGGATCTGATTATAAGTCATTTATTCAAGCTAAGTGGCTGTCAGTTGGCTTTTGGTTAGTCTCTGCTTTGCAGACATTTTACTTGTTCTACAGAGCTCGTGCTCGGTATCCTAAAGAGACAGAAAAAATGATCTGAGTATATGAGTATGGCCAAGGTGTAATGAGGAGCAATCTTGGCTTAAAACAACGATAAATTACAAAGGTAAACTTGAGAGATAAGGCTAAGTTCGCACCAACTCAGGTGAGCCACCGTATAGACGTGACATTTAAAAACCGGGCGCTTCGACCGCTAGCCCTATGTCAGAGTTCAAACAGTTTAAACCACTCCGTTTAACTGTGTAAGCCCATACATACTTACGTGTTCACGGCTGTCTCCATAACAATGATAATTTTTCGTTCACATGCACGAACTTATCTGGAACAAGGATTAGGATTAGGTTCTTAGTTTTTGAAGGAAAGATACAATTGTAGCTAAGAGTATTTAGTGGTATTCCGCTTATTCCTTATTTAAAATCTGCTACTGCAATACATTGCAGTTGGAGTGATAAGGCACCTATGTCTCCAAAGAGGACTCTGAATGTTGGCTTTATTTGCATCAGTGTACAGATTTTTTAATATAATATTTTAGAAAACAAGAACGTGTTTCAAATTTTAGGCTAAATAGGGTCTTGTATAGAGGGGGCCTAACTGGCAAATTTTAGCCTAACAGATTCTTAAAAACCAGGGTCCAGTTGCTCGAAGCATTGTTAGCGTTAACCAGTGTTTGATACCTTGACAACGTATTGGTTTTGATACTGCTTAACCAATAGTTAAAGCTAACCATGCTTTGAGCAACTCAGCCCAGGTTCTTAGTCGCAGGTTTTTAGTGCATTCCGGCAACAATAACCTGTCTCCACAACCATGAAGTACTTTTTGAACATTTCTGAGGAGTCAGTTTACTTTCGTTGCTTCATTATTTTCGACACCCAAAGGTATGTAACAAACTTTCTCTGTGTATACCTTTATGTTATTGCACTAACTGTTTACACCAAAAGTAACCTTACAATGCTTTAACTTACACTCTAAATCAGAAAGATCTGTTTTAGCCCTAAAAATAGGGCCGTTTCGGTGAGTAAAATACAGTCCTACTTTTGAGTCTAATTTGGCTCCCTTAAATCAGGGCCACTACAGTCCAATTAGCTAGGGCTGAAATGGGCCCTACTGTGGGCTGGAATAGCCATTTGATAGAGTTTTTTTGGCCTAAATTGTGTTCAAATGGCTACAGGAAGGGCTGAATCAGACTTTGGCCTGCAGGGCTAAATTGACACTTTGGGGCTGAAACAGATCTTTTCAATTTTCAGTGTACATGCGTTCCACTTCGTCATCGTTCGTCTTGAAGCGAAGATTTACTAACTAAGACCATAACAACTTAACAAGGTACCATAATCGCATCAAAAATCAACCTATTTCAGCGAGATTTAGAAATCTTTTTTTACGTCACACTGGAGACATCTACCTAACAACGGTTCCAATCAAAGGTCAGAATTCCATTCCCGGTCAGGCCTGAATTTTTTCAGGTTATTTTGTAATTGCTTAGGTTGTTCATTCAACTGCGAGGATCATTTTCACATTCATTTCAAATGAATGTGAAAAGGATCCTCACAGTTGAATGAACAATTCAAAAATATGATCGTTCCAATTTTCTTCCCTGCGCGTGCAACCTCCTGAGATGAACTACAATGCCTTGTGGATGAAGTAGATTGGTTTAATTTCCAAAGAGAGACTGATTTCTCAGTTTATTATTATCCAAATGCGTGAACTAATAAAAAGAGTGACTTGCAGCCGGAATTTTTTGCTTACGTGATCCTCTTTTTGTATTCTCAAATGCAGATAAGTTAAAATTGGCCAATTGATATGCGAGGGGAAAGTTATTCAGTGGTACATTTCTTTGAAAATCTACCCGGGTTTCCATTTTATTTGGTGAACTTACCCCTCAACACGATCTAGAAGGCTGAGAAAAAATCCCAGCTTTGGTGTTAGCCATGCAAATAAATTGGCCAATCTCCAAATGAAGGTTGATTTTGAGAAAGGGGAGAACAACCGCTTTTATTTCAAGAATACAGGCTCCCGCCTTTTACCTTATTTTTCCCTACTGCTCACAAACATAGCAAACATTACACCGAAGCAAGTTTATAATATCGAAATACTTACACTAACGTGTCTTCTATTTCTCTTTTAGTCGCGTTAAACGAAGTTTAAGTCGCGGTAAAAGAGACGCCATTGTCCCATCGAACTGCACACTTCTTTTCAACGGGTTTCGTTTAAACTTTTTGACGTCACAATGGATACTGGTACCTAGCGACGGTTCTATTTTGATCATCTGCGCGCGCTAAATACGCAATACTTGCGATGAACTTTACCTTTATAAAAACCTGATTTTTTTTTTCACTTTAATCTACAACCGTTTCGTAAATTTAATTTGGTCATTCAATTCCATGAGACGCAAGTGAAGGCAACCTGTTGCCAGAATTACATTTTTTGCTGGTGAGTTCCTCTTTTCGCGTGATACGGGTTTAAAATTGGCCACAAGACGCAACTTGTTTAATTGTACGTCTCTTGAAACATTGCGAGATGAAGTATTTAACCATTTGCTTATCATCCTATGTAAGGTAAATACGGATTCTGGAATCCCAATTCAAGAAATTTTTACTTGTGGAAAACGGAATCCTGGACTCTGGAATCCGTAATTCAGCACAAGGAACCTCTCTCCCGGCGTTGCGTGACAGAGACAGGGGCCAGAACTGGACTATCCATAAACTGCCTCTTTTTCATTTATGTGCGAAAATTTTACGTGCGTTCGCACGGAAAAATTACGCGACAGTGGAAATCAACCCTTCGTAGCAAGATCAGAAGAGACTGATATACGATATACTATTCTGGCACATTGATTACCGGTGATTTCTTGGGGTACCCTCGTAGCCTGCGAGTACAGCCGTCTCTCATCGCTCCTCGCCGGGAAGGACGTTTCGGAATTCGTAAGAGAGGATTGAGGATACACGGCTGTATTCCGCACGGTGTATTCGCAGGCTGGTACCCGCTTTGGCGAATGATAAACGGGGACCTTTAGCATACTGTGCAGTAGACTTGCTACAAGTCGAACTCTCATAAGTTCTATAAAGAGAGCGAAACGAACTTCTATGAGGCGGTGCAGCCAACCACGAATAAAAAATGGACTTTTAGAAAGTCTGACTGTGTAACAATAAATAAATGTGCCTCTGGTGACCGGACGTTTCGCCCACGAGTCGTTTAGCTAACGTCCCGTTCCGTTAAGAAGCAAAACGAGCGCTACGCAACATGTATATGCTTCGTTCGCTCAAGCATGATAGAAAAAGTGCAACACGCATGTATATACCTCGTTTTTTCAGCCACTGATAAGGCGAAAGTAGTTAGGGAACTGACCCAACACGTACGCGAAACGACTTCAGAAGTTAGCGAGCAGGACATTGGCGAATCGACTCTCAGGCGAAAGTTAAAGTTGAGTTGAGGCCTCCTGGTTTACTGGTTTTTACTCAGGGGCACCCAGCGGCTGTTTTCTGTTCGGAGAAGCAAAAATTGCCTAGAAATTTCTATAGCTTGAGGAAGGCTAAAAATTTCTAGATGACCGTTCCATTCATGTACAATTTTCGTAATATATCTAATAAATTCCTTACGATTTTCTATAAAGTTCAATTTTTCGCATTTCAGTACCCAAGTTAGCCTATTTTTCGTAGAAAAAAGAAAACTAAAATGTTCGGATTCAAAAATGCGATGGAGAGAGGAATCTGAAAAATTCTCACTTTCGCAAAACTTAAAATTGCATCTAAAATTTTCGGGAAAATACTACTGAAGCTCTTATAATTTCGAAAAGACTCAAGTTGCCCTAGGACGACCGAACAGATACAAATTTTATAGCGCCGCTTAGAATGCATTTCCAGAGATCTGAAAGTACCCTGGATGGCCTAAAAAGTGTTTTCAATGTATTTAGAAGGAAACCGTCGTTGGGTGCCCCTGTTTACTTGCCCATATACTGGCTCTAAATACCGTTACCGTAACAAAAAGGAAGGCCACAAGCACCACAATTATAATTCGCTAATTTAAGGACTCTCGTACCATTTTCATTACCCTGCGAGCAGAGGCCCTTCGATTCTTAGATAAGTCGGAAAGTCTTTTGTAAGAAGGTCGAAGTGCCTCTATCGCATGACTCATCTGCGGGCCGACCCTCACTTGAACCACTAGGCAGTCTTAACGCCTTTAATATATCAGAGAGCTATTAATTAAGTACCATTCATGTACACTCGCCTGACACAAGGGGTACTTACCTTATCAACTACAGGTACATGTTTTCAGAAATTAACATAGAGAGGCGCATTTTTCGTGGGGAATGAAATCTACCTTCGAACTGATGGCATCCGGCATGTTCATCGCTGGTAAAACTTGGTAAAACATTAGCAAATCCTCGTTACCAATTAATCATCCAGCTCGGCTCCCCGGTGTGTTGACAAGAAATCTGTGTGCGCATTGGTCAGCTTATTCGTCGCCTGCGAACTCTTGCGAACTCGAACTGGCCTGCAAACATCAACTTGCGTCATGCGCGTAAAAGCTTGTGCCCAGTGACAACCGTTAATGTGATCTGGAATCCAACATGGCGGATGAAATGAGGGACAAAGTGGCTCAACTTTTAAAGGGAATTGACAGGTATGAAAGCTGACGGCTGCTGTTTAACTTATAAAACAACATAAAACTAGTTACTGCAGAGATGAATGTAGGTAGAATGTAGTAAGAAACCTGTTGTGAAGAAAACGTGGTGGTCTTTTGATCACGTGTCGGAAATAAGACAGCTGATATATAGAGATTACGGCAAAATTATTTTGTGAGGTTTTTCTGGTTGTTTCTATCCATGAAATTATAAATTTGCTTACTTGATTTACGACCAAATTGTTTCTTTTGTTTTAGGTACAATCCTGAAAATCTGACGACACTTGAAAGCTATGTTCATCTTCAGGTAGGAACTAGAAATTTTAGCTTATGCACTTCAATAAGGGCATCTTCCATAAATTATTATTGTCTTTATGAACCCTCGTTCTGAGGTGAAGTTATCTTGTTATGGTTGCTCTCAAGCCATTTTGACCCATGAGACAAATACCATATTGAAACCAAAACCATCGTAAGATAAACATGAGGAATGAATATGTGACATACCTCGTTCTTTAAAGCGATGATGAGATGAAACAAGTGGTATTAATGTGTAATAATTATATTTCGCTCTTAATCCTTGATGAACAATGAAACAAGCACGATAAATGAGTACCATATCTCGTTCTCTAATCTCCATTGAGACGAAACAAGCGCGATAAATGTGTAATAAGAATGCTTGAGGATGTTGTTGAGCAGGATAAAATTTTAAGCAACATATAAGTTTATAACTCTGCATTTCTGGTGACTTGACTGTAAATTTTGGCTGGCATGACTCGGGTTTCAGGCCACTTGACCGTAAACTGAATTCTTCAACTGAGTTGCTCCTCCTCTTTTGTTCTAGGTCTATAATAACGTCTATGACCTGGATGCAAATCTTGCTGTTTTAAAATTGTGAGTACAAGTCTATGTACAATGTACATGTATTTCATTGCAAGTGCCATATAACATGATTTTGGCTAGATTGCAGAATACCTGGCCCACTAAATATCTAACTTAAAAAACTGCTCCTGCAGTCCCAAAACCTGTAACCTTAACTCTCTGACATTTACATAGAAATTGGAACATCTCCGCTGATGCCCATTTGTCCTTAGAGATTGCTTGTAGCTTGCAAGTGGAGGTGAATGCTGTTAGTGAATTTTTTCCTTCTCCAAGATAGCTAATCCAAATGTGTTGTAAGTCCCATGTTCACTCTAAATGCATTCCACGCCCTCGAACAGTTTTGATGTATGAACACCCTACAATTTTAGAGAACCAGTTAATTAGATTACAGTGTTATACAATAAAAAGTCTTTTACATATAGTACAAAAACAAGCAGTCAAAAAACCTCATCTTGCGTTGTATTGACCTGGGGCCAAACCAGTCCCAAACAGGCTATAGGTACCAATTAAAAACTAAACTCCTTCATTATTAGCATCAAAACTTACTAATTACATTTTCATATTAGGTACCAGTTCAATCCTGCATATCACCAAACTACAGTCACCATGCAGATCCTACTGAAAGCTCTTATGACTCTACCAAATGCTGACTTCATTATGTGCAGATGCCTAATTGATGATGCTAATGTATCCTTCCTGGTTGTACCTTTTTAAAATTATTGTTGTAAGAACAGTAGCAGAAGTAGTAGCAACAGCAGGAGCAACAGTGATAGTAGTAGTAGTGGTATCATTTTTATCATTATTATTTATTGTCAATTCAAAACATTAAGAAAAGAAAGAAACTATGTAAATAAGGCAACTTCTTTTTGGGGGATACCCTTGTACCTGAGAGTTGGTATCCTTATAATGTTTGTTGGGGAAAATCCAACAGAGGGGTCTAGAATTATACCCACCATTGAATCTTTTTTACCCAGCACATATTATTTTTTGTAGTACATTTCAATTACAATGAAATAATAGACTTTTTTCACGATACCCGCCATCTTTGCATGCACTTAAGGACTGATGGGATAAAAGCAATGTCACGTGGTTTCTCATGGGGCAAACAAGGGATAAAAATTGCCAATGTGTGGTTCCAGAAAATATCCAGACCTCCACCACGGAGGGAATTGGAAATAGGGGAGGGGGGTTGGACAATAAAATCACTTTCCGGGGGTAAATACATTTCATTTTCGACCTGTGTTTGAACATTACTTCTTACCGAACTGTTAGATCATTTTTAGAACATAAATAACTTGAAATTTATCGTTTAAGATTGTTGCTTTTGATCTTAACCAGGTTTCCTTTCTTCCAAAAGCGTTTTGAATGTAATTTCAAAGAAAGTTGACCAACTTCAACGTGGTCGCATGCTCGTATATTCGGCCGCCATTACTCGTTACCAGTCTCTCTTAAGACATTAACGCGTGCAACACATCAAGTTGCGTCAGTCGATCGATGGAGGAACTGTAGAGTGGCAATTTTACTTCACGAAGTACAAACTATACATTGTAACCACTTTAGAATGTAAAGTTCTTATTCTCCTTTTCATTTTCCTGTAATATTGTGGTTGAAGATGTGGCATGTTCATGATTGAATTCTCGCTAGCTGAAATGGTGTTGATTTCAGCAAACATTACGGCCATCGCGCATAACGCACGTCGCATCACTCGATCGGAAAACAGTAAATTGAACTTGGTTTCCCTTCAAGATGCAGGGGGTTTTCATTGTTATGATTTCAGAAGTCAGAGTTTTTATTCTTCTCTTTGTTTTGCCTTCATTTTGGGGTTGAAAGTTTGACTTGTTCACCATGTAGCATTCCCGCACGACTCGTTAATACTACCAACATTACGCCTACCTTTACGCCCATGAAGACAAATAACAAATCGTAACCTTGCCCTGATTAAGGTAAATTCATAAATACAACTGACTTGTAACTTTATCTATTTCATTTAAAGTTAGGGATGAGCAAAAACTGCAGATTAGGTTACTTTGTGGTTTAGTGAGTTTCAATGTTGCGAGATCACTCAAATAAATGGAAACAGAAGCATACAAGCTTCTGATGGAAACCGTTACGTACTAACCATAAAACGCCTCATTCTTTTACTTTCATAGTCTTTCTTCATGAAAATGAACTTTTCCAGAGGGGTTGGGGGGTCTTTGTCACACTTGTGGAAATTCCGGAGGGGTGGGGGGGCCATCAGTTCCCTGTAAAAATGGAAAATCCAGGGGGGTTGGGGGGTCCAAAGTAAGATTCCCTCCGTGGTGGGGGTCTGGATATTTTCTGGAACTACACAATGGAAGAAATCGCAGTTGAGTTTGTTTATCCTAGACAACAGGAAATGATAACCTTTTCATCTTAAAGACGATAATGACAAAAATTATATGGGTGGAAGTGATCATTGTTATAATAATAATAATAACCTTTATTTATTACCTTTGGCGATAAGAATTACGGTAATATTACAATAAAAATTCAAAACACTACATATTATGTATACATATCAAATTAAGTTAAGTTTAGCACCTCTAGGAATAAATGATTGTTTGTGCCTAACAGTGCGTGATACAGGTATTCTGAGGTGCGCTGGGTTAGTCTTACAAGATCTTAGATTATGGCCATGATCCACTGGCTTTTCTAAAAAACGTTTACAAGGATGTGCTTCAGATTCTAGGATACGTTTAAATTCTTTCCTCGTCAAATTCTGACGCCTAGTTACAAGTGACTCAACAGTATCCCTAGGGAGACCAATGACATTTAGACATCTATTCTGCACTCTCTGTAGATCTTCTTCGAGGTAAATGGGCAGCCCTCCCCAGACAGGCGAGGCATATTCTAAAAGAGGTCTAATCTTAGTAATGCAAGTTGTAAGACCATTGTCCCTGGGGAGATGGGCTGTTCTACAGACCCTAAGCCCTTAGACCCTTTTTTGTATGGTAAACAGTAATGATGTAAATCTTGCCAAAACTCGATAAGTACATTTTGCATGACTATGAAATCGTCGTCTCGTTTAGATAGAGTAAACAAACATGATCGCAATTGCTCGTCTTGGCAAATTTATCACTTATTTGCCTCCTCTTCCCATTCTATCCCAGAGCGCTTGCAAAGATGGCGAGTATCATTGATAAGGTCTGTTGCACTTCACTGTAAAGGATGGAGCTTCAAATGACTTCTTTTTCTTCTTTGATGAATTCAGCTATTCAGGAAATGGTGTTAAAAACACACATTTTATAACTGTCTGGGAATGTCGGGCAAAGGTGAAGACCCCTAGACTCAGACCCTCATGAATCCACCACTACCACATCAATTTAAAAGCGTGTTACATGCACCTCAGCTGCTATTAACTAAACGAAAAATTGACTCGCTATCCTTGACATTCATCAGCAACAAGATCCAGCTATAGCTAGTGTTATCAAACTCGCAGAACTGTTGGAAACCTGTAACTTTTTGGAGGCTTGGGTAGGCTCTTGTTTGCTGTTTTGCTAAAATAAATGTAGAAAACCTTTCAAATCAAAAATTAAAATTATTTTATGTCTATATTGTTCTTTACATGTATTTTTTGTTCGCTTACTTTTTATTATGATAGTGTAATTTTCTGGCCCCGGTTGGCTTAAAGATGGTTAATGCTATCCAGTGGATAGTGCAATTGGTTTTCCTGATACCTATATGTTTGATGCTGATTTATCTGGTGAATAGCTTGCTATCCAATGGAGCCTGCCTTATTTAATGTGTAGTTTTCCAGCACCTTTCCTACAACATTTTCATTTCAATTATTTTTATTTCAGAAATACCTAGAGGAAGAAAGTTCTCTTGTTGAAGGTGTTGTAGGATTTCATGATGCAATAAGAAAATGTAAGTTTAGCTGACCCTTGACTAACATTCACCCCTACAGTATAATGGCAATGGAACCTTGCTCTTTATCTAGTACCAAATTGTCCTCCTTTCGTCAGAGCCACACGCAACGAGTGATATAAGGAAATTATGCAAATAAATTGTGAAAAGGAGGAGAGATTGGCTTCCACCCTCATTCCTCGCAGCTTTGCCACTCGCCCCTAACATGTGCTCTCGATCTCTGTGACTTGAAAAGAAAAAAAAAGAGACTTCTCAAGTCTTTTACCAAATACTTAAATTTTTTCTCCTTCTTCTTTCAATTTTCTGGACAACGCTTTATTTGTACGCATAGTTTGATTGAGAGTCTTTCATTGCATGTTTACAGCCATGTTTCCTGTATGTGTTTTATTTTGTACAGATGTTAGCTATGTCATAGGAATAACATATCAAACAATAGACAAAAGTCTTATCTCTGAACTTCTTGGAGGGCTCCAAGGTATGTGATTTATAGAGTGATGTTGCTTGACAAGTGGATGGTATTGGAACAGTACAAATAGTTACAGTTTACTCTGTCAAAGACCAGCTCCTATAAGCCCACGTATACAAAACACCCAACTTTTCCCAGTCAAATCACTATAAACCTCCCGTGAATGATCACCTCTCGTAAGTGACCACAACCTCTTTTTGCTCTGACAGTTTTATAATTTTCCATTATTTTTAATCTTTTGTAAACGAACACGTGACACACGGTCTCTTTGTTTCTTTTTGTTTGTTCTTGTGTCTCTTTGGATCTCTTTGTTTTCTTATACGCATATTACAGCAATCAGAGTATACAAAGAACATACAGTGATATGGAACTACACATGTCGCTACTTAGAAATTCCATGCAATAAATTCTGTTCCAAAATGTAGATGTGTCAGGGCCTCTTCTTGGATGAAACCCCTTATGATTTGATTCTTGTAAGCAACCACCTCCTGAAAGCGACCATTAATAATTATTCTTTAGCATTTTGGTACTGAAAGTTTGACTCTAAGATTTTTATTATACAGTTTTTCTTTTCATTGACCATCTGGCCCAGGTTGTTCAAATGTTGGATAGCAATATCCACCGGACAAGTCACTATCCAGCGGATAAGCATTAGGGAAACCAATTGCGCTATACAGTGGATAGAGATTTATCCAGTGGATAGCCTTATCCACCTTTTGAACAACTGGGGCCAGGACAATAGCACAACATACCAGCTTGGACAATGTTCCTTGATTGTCACATAATTATTCTAATGAACAGTAGATGTTGAAGGTTCCTCAACATCCAGGTAGTAAATAATCTTAGTGGTAATAATTTTGGATTATTAAACGTTTCTGGGAAACTACCCACCTACCCCTCCCCACTAACCCTTACTTCTCACTTTGGGCAAAATGTTGTCGTAGGGGAGGGGTAGGTGGACAGTTTCCCAAAAACGTTTAATTATCCATAATTTTTTTGAAGGGGATGAACTCGATAACTGGATCAAAACACAGAACTGGACACTCAAAGAGGATGGAAAAGTATTTATTTGTAATCAAGATGCACACATCAAATCCAAAAATATTGCAGAGAAAATCGATTTTGACAGTAAGTGAAGACAGTGCCTAAGTTTTACAAATTTTGCTTTTTGATACATCTTTTATTTTGTTCAGGGGATACTTCCTAACCCTTTAAGTCCCAACAGTGATGAACATCAATTTTCTCTTAACGATATCAATACATTGACAACAGAAAAAGTCATGCGAATTAATTAATTGACCACCAAGGGGAAAGTGCTGTGATCTGTCAACAAATTCTCTCAACTGATTCTTAAAGGAAAAGTATGGCAGACAGTCTGGAGAATTTGTATGTGGATATTGGGACTTAAAGGGTCAATTGTCACTAACATACAGGCTACACTTTGATGATCATCCTCAAATCTGACTTTATCTTAATGTCAGTTTTAACCCAAAATGCTTCAATGCTTATTCATGTGATTTTGATGCATACTTTATTATTGAGCTGCCTGTGGCAAAGCCCAATCAAGTTTTAACAGTGCGCTAGATGTATGACCCACCAGACATTGCGTGTCTCATTTGTATTCAGTGATGAGCACTGGGTGTTTTTTAGGTAATTTGAATCTAATCTAGCGTGGTATTGTTCTCGGGTTCTAATACAGTTTATTTTGTAACATTCCAGGTGTTGCTGGAATAATCGCCTTAGCCAAGTAGAAGACTGCTCCAACGCACTGCCACCTCTGCAGATTTCTTCAGTTTTCAATTTAAGCGTGGTTTCCCTGTGGTTGTTATGAGTTCTGCAATGGCTGTAGCCTGTGAACAAGACCTCTATTGTGAGAGGCGAGCGAAGCAAGCTGTGGGAGAACACACAACCGATCGATGAAGCCCCAGGTGGTGTCTCCTTGGTATCGGGTCGTTTCGCCTGAGGGTCGATTCGCCAGATGGCAGCTCGCCCAGTCTAAGTCGATTCGCCCGATGTGTATTTTGTAGTGTGAGAAAAAGGAATGAGCATGAAAAGACATTGACTGCACATGTGGAATCCAAGGTTAACTAAAATAACATCTCAGAGAAGTAGGTTCACCATGTAGGGTGTTGTATGTCATCGGGCGAATCGACTGATGTCCTGGTGAACGCCTTCGGGCGAAACGACCGCAATTTATCTCCTTCCATGTGCCGCTCGCGTGTTCCTTCTCGTGATAGGCCCCAAATGGAGAGCTTGCACACAGGTTACTGGCTATTGGACTGATTGTATGGAAACACTTGCTTGGAGGAAAAATAATTAATGCTATACCTCTCTGTCAGCTAAACCCCAAAACATGATCTTTAAATATAAAAATTGAAATGTAATCATCTATGGTGCTTTTCAATTATCTGTAATGTTTTTCAAGTTCTAAACTTGATGTAATCTGAAGTGCTTTTACAAAACTCGTGTCATAAATTAAATTCTGCTTGTTAGATACCGAAATATACTGTTTACTTTACATTTATTGAACACAAAATTATAAATCTCAGTTTAAAAACCATTATGCTGGTGCGTAGTTTATGGAGGTGGTTAACACATTTTGTTTGGGCTCATGTATGTCCGCAAACTCCAACATGGATCGCCACCAGAACTGAAATCGGGCAGAAGACGCCTCGATCTGTTTCAGAAAGATTAATGCTGCTAGTAAGGTGGTTAAATGTCATGGCAGATCGACTGGATCCGGCCCTATACAGACGGTCCGTCTTGTAACAGTTGTTCTAACTCACCCAGCATGAGCGACGCAGAGACTTCAAGCATGCGGGGAATGAAAAGCGGTGGGATATTTGCACGCAAAACGGGGACGTTAGTCGCGCAGGGACGTACCATTACAAAACAGGTTGACGCTGATCTCCATACGTTAGCTAGCTCGTTGGGTGGATTATAAAGTGGTGGGCCTGGGTTCGATTTCCAGCAATGAAAACCACAGGCCTGAGGTCAATTTAATGAAACTTTTACAAGTGTATTGTACAAGTGTGCCCATTGTTTTGGAGACTGAAAACAATAGCTACACTTGTAAATTACACTTCAAAAATTTTTATTAAATTGACCCCTGGTCTCACAGCACTTTCACTGATCGAACTCTTGGAATTGTGGGACGTGCAAGAACCCACAATGCTGTTCGAAAACGGACTTGACACTGGGCTGGGTGGACAATTTAAGGGTGGATATCAATTGGGACGGACTGTTTCTTCTTCTGTCATCGTATCGATTTGTTACGGTGAAATCAATAAATCAAATCGTTCTTTATTGAAGGAAAACAATTACGCCACACAAAGACTGAAGGTCATGGGGCGAAACAGTACGCAGCACCATAATATGGATCGTCCTTTAGCTATGAGGCGAAACAAGCGCGCTACTCAATCATACAATTCACGTGCGGCTGTTGGCCGCCTGACCCTTATGTTTAGAATTTTCCACAGTTATGTGGACGTTGGAAATCAGATTCTGGTCCAGAGTGCGCGTGCAGACATTCGACAGGCCAACTTCACAACAGGAACTTCCACTAGACACTAGTACCGTTGTAGTCTGTTAAACCGGAGCTCTCGCGTGCGCGAAGCGCGCACAGCGGGGAACCATGGGTAAGAAAATTTGGTAATGTATGCATCCAATAAATTTTTTCCTCGGACAAAATCGTACGTTCGTACGTCCACCACGTTATGTAAGCCGGGGTGAAAGAAGAAACAGGAACAAAGCCGAGTATGTTTTTTCCGTTAAATTTCAATGTGTTCACCAACGTGGATAACCGAGAAAAAGCTAGAGCGAGAGATCATAAACAAAGGAGAACGAATTTCGCTGGAAGAAAAACATAAAAATTTTATAGCGGCGGTGAGTAAGTGAGGAATGCTAGCGGCCACCAAGGTGAAAATGAGCGGCGGGAAAAAGAAAAAAAAAACAGGGAACAAAACACATGCGACATTTCCTCTATAAAACGTGTAACTAGGAGGTTTCACGTTGTAGTTGTGCAAAACAAGAGCAAATTAATGTATTAAAAAGTGTGCACCTGCAAAGTTGATTTTTCTGCTAATTAGACCTTGTGTTTGTCTGTTTGTTTTTTGCTGTTCTCGTTGCCGTTTCCATTTAGCGCTACACTATTTTATTTTTTGTTTGAGTTAACTACGAGTATATCAACGATTGCTTCGCTTCTAGCTCTGTATCTTACGTCTCATATTCTTTCCGCGTGCCGAAACTTTTTCCTCATACGGGACCCAGACAGGAATTAGTTTAGAACAACAAGGCCGCGCTTAAACCAATATGGCAGACGTGCTAAAAATAATTTTCTTGACACAATACCTTATGATTTAACGACGTGCAAAACAAAGGTGATAAGGAAAGGGGGAATTCAGAAAGAGGTTTTGTTCGGCTATTGGGAACCTTAAGCAAGGTCTATGGAAACGTCTTGTACTGTAACCGGAAGTTTAAGGGGATAGCGGTGATAAAAAGTGAATTCGCGTTCTTTCAATTTCTTTTTCGTCTAAATCATTCCAACTCGCAGACTTTGTCAGATGTAGGAGTCGAATTCCTGAGAAACATATCCAAGTTCAGAAAGAGAAAAAAAAATTCCTCGTCAGTTGTTTACGTCTGCTATTAATTAGGCATTTTCACGTCGAAGTCGTGCAGTGACGGCACGTGGTGCACGTGCAAAAGCTGTTGTTGTTTTGCAAAATTAAACCAACAATAGTTCAGTTCTACGCTCAACAATACGTTGGAGACCATGGCGCGCCGTGGTGTTATCAAACTACCGTAAGTATTTAGATGTATATATATTTTTACCAGCTTATTAAGCCAGTGTTAGAAACAGAATGTCTGATACACTCATTTTATCCATTTTGGTCATCCTTGGCAAATTCTAAAGGCGTATTTTTCCAAGAGCCCCAAATTCGGTGTCAGGCACGACACCGAAGTGAAAAATACGGCCAAATTTTATTTACAGAAAATACAGGAAAGGTGATAAGGAAAAGAGGATATGGAAAATCTCACCCATGGTCAGGTAAATAGGGCAGGTAAAACACAAAACTTGGAAAACTTTGCAAATGCATTACACTTTTTATATGAATTATTTTTCGCGGAGCCAGCCATCACACGACTTCAACTTCAGGAGAGTACAGTAAGCAAGTTGGAATGATGGCGATAAAGATTGAAAGAGCCCGAATTCACTTTTTAAGTGACGTTTTTACCCTCGTGGCTAACGTGGGATCTGTCAAACTCCCTACTGAACTTGAAGTATTGACGCCTGTCAGTGAGGTATCACGAATTCAGTGACGGATCCGGGGGGAGGGTCCGGGGGGCTTCGGATCCTCCCTTCCAGACCTGA